GCACTGAAACTGAAGCCGGATTTACCTAGATCGTTCTCTTCACTTCAGTTTGCTTCTCAGCGGCAAGTCTGTCGTAACCGCCATGATGCACTTTTACAACGCAGAAAACTGCTTGTTTCAAGGCCAAACCGTTCAAAGGTTACAGGAGATTTTAAAAAATATTCTAGCGTAAATTCACAGGTCACATTTCATAATTTCATCCCTTACAAAAAAGTCCCACTGGAATCCTGCAGGGATTTGAGCCTATGTGAAGGAATTGTGCAGATGACATGCAGGAATCCTGCAGGACTAATGCTATCCTGCAGGACAACATTTGATAACTGTCAGAAGTTTTGCCTATGCTTCTGCAGGACTCGTGCAGGAATTTGTATTGTCCTGCATGAGTTTCAAAAATCCTGTAGGAATTTTTTAAATCCTGCAGATCCTATAGGATTTTTATCATGCAGGTCCTGCAAGGATTTTTATATTCCTGCAGGTCAAGGCAAGTTCCTGCAGTAAACCCTGCAGAGGCAGATCCTGCAGGATTAATTTATTCCTGCAGGACAAAGCAAATTCCTGCAGAAATAGGTCAAATTAAGCAGTAATAGGCAAATTCGTGCAGGAGGCTTGCAGAGGCAGATCCTGCAGGAGTATACAAATGTTTTACATTCTGCAGGACTATGTGAATTCATCGGTATGCGACATTTAATAGCTTTTTTTTTTTTTTTTTACCATTGAGTCGTCTAGCTAACAGTATAATTTAGTTTGCGGATGCAACTACCTTCACTTGTGGCTATCTAGCTAGCTAACTAGCTAACTTAACTGTTATGCATAGCTATGAGCTAGGTAAATTAGCTGTGCTATATTCAAGTCTTTGCACATCATGGACCTTGGTAGCCTATATCACAATTTAGATATTCTATATGGTTTAGCATGTATAGGCTGAGGTTATTCAGGGACCTCAATGTGATGGCTCTTCTTTCTATCTAATATGAGTTTGTGCATATCATATATGCAATCCTTAATTTGTTTTTCAGCCATATACAGTGGGGGAAAAAAGTATTTAGTCAGCCACCAATTGTGCAAGTTCTCCCACTTAAAAAGATGAGAGAGGCCTGTAATTTTCATCATATGTACACATCAATTATGACAAACAAATTGAGGAAATAAAATCCAGAAAATCACATTGTAGGATTTTTAATGAATTTATTTGCAAATTATGGTGGAAAATAAGTATTTGGTCACCTACAAACAAGCAAGATTTCTGGCTCTCACAGACCTGTAACTTCTTCTTTAAGAGGCTCCTCTGTCCTCCACTCGTTACCTGTATTAATGGCACCTGTTTGAACTTGTTATCAGTATAAAAGACACCTGTCCACAACCTCAAACAGTCACACTCCAAACTCCACTATGGCCAAGACCAAAGAGCTGTCAAAGGACACCAGAAACAAAATTGTAGACCTGCACCAGGCTGGGAAGACTGAATCTGCAATAGGTAAGCAGCTTGGTTTGAAGAAATCAACTGTGGGAGCAATTATTAGGAAATGGAAGACATACAAGACAACTGATAATCTCCCTCGATCTGGGGCTCCACGCAAGATCTCACCCCGTGGGGTCAAAATGATCACAAGAACAGTGAGCAAAAATCCCAGAACCACACGGGGGGACCTAGTGAATGACCTGCAGAGAGCTGGGACCAAAGTAACAAAGCCTACCATCAGTAACACACTACGCCGCCAGTGGCTCAAATCCTGCAGTGCCAGACGTGTCCCCCTGCTTAAGCCAGTACATGTCCAGGCCCATCTGAAGTTTGCTAGAGTGCATTTGGATGATCCAGAAGAGGATTGGGAGAATGTCAAATGGTCAGATGAAACCAAAATATAACTTTTTGGTAAAAACTCAACTCGTCGTGTTTGGAGGACAAAGAATGCTGAGTTGCATCCAAAGAACACCATACCTACTGTGAAGCATGGGGGTGGAAACATCATGCTTTGGGGCTGTTTTTCTGCAAAGGGACCAGGACGACTGATCCGTGTAAAGGAAAGAATGAATGGGGCCATGTATCGTGAGATTTTGAGTGAAAACCTCCTTCCCTCAGCAAGGGCATTGAAGATGAAACGTGGCTGGGTCTTTCAGCATGACAATGATCCCAAACACACCGCCCGGGCAACGAAGGAGTGGCTTCGTAAGAAGCATTTCAAGGTCCTGGAGTGGCCTAGCCAGTCTCCAGATCTTAACCCCATAGAAAATCTTTGGAGGGAGTTGAAAGTCTGTGTTGCCCAGCGACAGCCCCAAAACATCACTGCTCTAGAGGAGATCTGCATGGAGGAATGGGCCAAAATACCAGCAACAGTGTGTGAAAACCTTGTGAAGCCTTACAGAAAACGTTTGACCTGTGTCATTGCCAACAAAGGGTATATAACAAAGTATTGAGAAACTTTTGTTATTGACCAAATACTTATTTTCCACCATAATTTGCAAATAAATTCATTAAAAATCCTACAATGTGATTTTCTGGATTTGTTTTTCTAATTTTGTCTGTCATAGTTGACGTGTACCTATGATGAAAATTACAGGCCTCTCATCTTTTTAAGTGGGAGAACTTGCACAACTGGTGGCTGACTAAATACTTTTTTTCCCCACTGTAAGCTATGGCTTGTTTTGGTATGTGGTTGAAAACTATGGCTGAGAAAATTTGATCACTCTCAAGTTCATAGACAGAGCTCTGGATGCAAGGAATAACAGTAATGGCATGATAACCCTTAAAAATGTACCATGGTACTTTCATTTATTATACCATGGTACTACTATGGTTCTTTCATTTAAACTATGGTATAGTCTGAATTATGGAACTGTACCATGGTTTTAGCCTTGAATTATGATGGATGCCTGATGAAGACCTAACGGTCGAAATGTTGTTATAAATAAAATCACCTGGGAGCATGAGCAGCAGTGTGCAACGTTTTCCTTTCTGTTTACCATGGTACTGCCATTGTAACTAAATATTACCATGGTATTGCATCATTTATACCATGCTATAGATCTAAATCATGGAAACTTACCATGGTTTTAGGGTTCAGACTAGAGGGAGTACAGCTAAAAGTGGAAGTAGCAGGTTAGGATAGTTAACGTGGTGGGTTAGGAGACTTAGGTTAAGGTTAGGAAAAGGGTTAGCTAAAATGCTCTCCTAACCTGCTACGAAAAGTCACTTCCAGTTGTCGCTGTACTCCTTATAGTCACAACCTGGTTTTAGCTTTGAAGTATGATGGTACTACCATACACCTAAATAATACCATGGTATTGCATCTTTTTTTTAATCATGGTATAGATGTGGAAATAGCATGGTTTTAACCTGCATTATACATTATACCATGGTAATGCACAATGATGTTAAATGGTACCAAATATTATCATATGGTACCATCTTTATTAATTGTGCGTTACAATGGTACAATGGCAGTATGATGTATTAAATAAACCAAGGTCAAGAGGTTGGTTGGTATTATATTGATGCATTTATGTACCATTATGGGCAAGTTTCTGATAAAGTCAGAGGCATTAGCCTACTATTGTTGGTCTTAGTTTGTCTCTAACATCAAAGAAAAAGGGAAATAGTTGCTATGAAGAACGATACGTTTTTGTATGGAGGTCAATGACTGTCGAATTTGGTTAACAAAAAATGTAATGGCTTATTTGCTACGTGTTGCTTATTTGATAGAATATAAGTTTCGTAATTATTAGGTTGTTACGAATGTACTGATATAAGTAGGACACGAGACATCCCGGCAACTTTGAGAAAAAACACTTTATATCGGAGTTTTGCCTGGTCGTCACTACCACAGCTATAAAGTCATAAACCCGTATATTTATACAATGTATCTTCTTTAAATGTTATTTTGAACCTAACCCTAACATTAACCACACTGCTAAACTTGTTATGCCTAACCCTAACCTTAAATTAAGACCAAAAATTCAGATTTTTGTTTTCATAAATTTTTACGATATGACCTTGTGGCTGTCGTAACTAGTGGAAACCGTTGTGCCTGTTGTTCATACGCGTGTATCTGCCCTCTCATTGGCTAGAATGGTCCCACCTGATCTTGCCTCATTCTGACTGCCTTCCATTTTTGAAGAAACGTATTTATTGTTAGTGCGGCCAGTGTATGGTCAGCAATGTTGTGCTTGTGTCGGCCCGCTATGGAAAGCCAAAAGGTGTAGGGCAGCGTTGCAAAGTAATCGCTCGGCATGTTTGTTGCACATACAATAATCGATTTATGTGTTTGGGCTAATAAATTACCGGTGTGTAAAATTACGTTGATTTATATGTGTGTATTCGTAAATTCAATCTGGAGTGCCAGAATGCGCTCAGAGACAAGTATTCGTAAATTCAGAGCGTTTCAGTTTCGCCCTCGGGGCGTTCAGAGCCCACACTGGATGTTCCTATCAGCGGATTCATTGCTACAGTAAATATACAAGCTGACACATTTCTTCCAGTCTCTGAAAGACTACAACTCGTGTGGGGCGGTGCTTCGTGCTCTGACCCGGTCCCTCCCCCAAGGCAGGCTTTTTTGAAAGAGATGCAGACAGTAACACAATCCTTTGGGCAAAACTGAAATAACTGACAACCCAACCACAATGGCTTCAAGTGATTGCTCTCATCAAAACGAATTCGAAGACGGATCATTTGTTTAGCTACATGGTAACATTCAACAGGAATATAGTGAAGAGAATTCGAAACAAAGAGTTGGATTTAGCTAGAAGCTCAGCTACAGCAGATGCTAGCACCAAGACGGCTTGCTGGTTACTGCATAGACAAATATAGTTCAGGTCAGCTAACTAGCTAATGACAAGATAGCTTGCTCAATAGTTATGTCGAGCAGTTTTACAAATAAGACGTTTTTGCTAAGCAGTTCTCCACAGAGCCCTATGAATAGTTTTTTTTTTCATCTGTTGGCAACAACAACACACTGGGACTTGGAAACTATATATTTGTGTGTTGCAATGAAGAGCCTATGGGCGAAATGATGCAGGCGGGGATGCACTCTCAGCCAGGTCTGGATAGGCACCTGCCGCTGCTGCGAGGCCGCCACAGGGTTCCTCCGGGCAGTATGATACTGGGCCTAGAGGAGGCTTACCCCGGGTGTCACAACCGGAGCCCTCCCGTAGCCTACATAGACACCGGTGCTCAGGACTTCAGTGAAAATGACCGGAACGTCGCCCCGGTGTTGGAAAGGATAAAGAGGACTCGATCCAGTAGTTCAAGGCACCGGTATAACGAGGTTGTCACAGAATTGGGACCCGAAGAGGTGCGGTGGTTTTACAAAGAGGACAAAAAAACCTGGAAGCCTTTCGTTGGACACGACTCCCTGAAAATTGAGGTCATGTTCCGTAAATTCTGCGAAAAGAACCCTGGCACGACCAAGCGCCAGGGCTTTTTGGGCATGAATGAAGGGTATGAGGAAGAGAATACAAGCGGTGTGGAAGCGACAACTGGGGGGTCGAACGGAGTTGAGCGAGCTGGACCAGTGCTGGAGCCGAGAACTAGGGTACATAGGGACAGGGGTTCGATGGAGAAAACGCACTCCACAGACGAAAGAGACCTTGATTCAATAAACATCAGTGTAGAGGCTGTATGTGTCAGGGGTGGGCTGTATGAGGTGGATGTCAAAGACAGAGAATGCTATCCTGTGTATTGGAATCGTAAGTATCAATAGGACGTTTCCTCTTTCCTAGTTGTATACCCACCATTCATGTTTTTTGTTGTTGCTTGCAAACCAATGTGTGTAAGAGGGTTTGCGCCCCTTTAAAGTATTTTAGTCAACAACCCATCTTGCCAAGTGCTATTAATCTCCCAATGGTAAGCAAACGCCTCGGTGCCAGATGTTGAGTGGTGTCCATAATCTCTGGTTTTAATTCCTGTTGCATATCTCTCCAATGAGAGGCTGCAGATTGTGTGGACAGGTCACTACAGAGATTACCTTGTACAGCACTCACATGAGATCAGAGGTCGCATGGTATGATGTCACCATCATTCATTGACTTCTCCTAGGCAATCTGTCTGTCTATAATAGGCCTTAATGCACAAATATGGGCCACATACAGTGCATTCGGAAAATTCTAAAATGGATTAAATCACTTTTTTCCATCAATCTACACACCATACCCCATAATGACAAAGCAAAAACTGGTTTAGAGATCTTTGCAAATATATAATTTTTAAACATTAATCACATTTCCATAAGTATTCAGACCCTTTACTCAGTACTTTGTTGAAGCACCTTTGGCAGCGATTACATCCTTGAGTCTTCTTGGGTATGACACTACAAGCTTGGCACACCTGTATTTGAGGAGTTTCTCCCATTCTTCTCTGCAGATCCTCTCAAATTCTGTCAGGTTGGATTGGGAGCGTCGCTGCACAGCTATTTTCTCCAGAGATGTTCGATCGGGTTCAAGTCTGGGCTCTGGCTGGGCCACTCAAGGACATTGACACTTATCCCAAAGCCACTCCTGCATTGTCTTGGCTGTGTGCTTAGGGTCGTTGTCCTGTTGGAAGGTGAACCTTTGCCCCAGTCTGAGGCCCTGAGTGCTCTGGAGCAGGTTTTTATCAAGGATCTCGCTGTACTTTGCTCAGTTCATCTTTCCCTCGATCCTGACTAGTCTCCCAGTCTCTGCCGCTGAAAACATCCCCACAGCATGAAGCTGCCACCACCATGCTTCGCCGTAGGGATGGTACCAGGTTTCCTCCAGGCGTGACGCTTGGCATTCAGGCCAAAGTGTTCAATCTTGGTTTCATCAGACCAGAGAATCTTGTTTCTCATGGTCTGAGAGTCCTTTAGGTAACTTTTGGCAAACTCCAAGCAGGATGTCATATGCCTTTTACTGAGGAGTGGCTTCTGGCCACTCTACCATAAAGGCCTGAATGATGGAGGACACTGTTCTTGGACCTTCAATGCTTCATAAATGTTTTGGTACCCTTCCCCAGATCTGTGCCACGACACAATCCTGTCTCTGAGCTCTACAGACAATTCCTTCGACCCCATGGCTTGGTTTTTTCTCTGACATGCACTGTCAACTGTGGGACCTAATATAGACCGGTGTGTGCTTTTCCAAATCATGTACAATCAATTGAATTTACCACAGGTGGACTCCAATCAAGTTGTAGAAACAGCTCAAGGATGATCAATGGAAACAGGATGCACCTGAACTCAATTTCGAGTCTCACAGGCTGTAATGTAACTAAATGTGGAAAAGGGGAAGGGGTCTTTCTGAATGCACAATCTGGACTAGAGTCGGGCCATCATATTTGAGCAACCTAATGAACCTGTAGTTTATCTTTGCCACCTCTCACAAATCCACAACAGTGGCCCGTTTTTATTAGTTTATCCATCATCCTGGGCACTGCCTCCATTGAATGTATCTGGATGTGCTAACTAATTCATGGAGATTTCCAAGAAAGCCAGTCATGGTGAAAATGAATGGACCCATGGTTATAGGGCCGGTTGCTATAGAGCCCTGGATTACTTGATCAGGCCAGCGGGGTATTTCATTTTCCCTGAAGGGATGCAGGGCTAATTGTCTGAATTCGCCTGAGGTAAAATGTAATGTAAATGTAAAACAAAGTGACAGTTTGAGAGTTTTTGTTTCCTAGGATCTTGCAGCTAGATGTTGTAATCAGTTTGAGACTCTGTTACTATGTTTGGGCCTGTAATATCACTGTTTGACATACTAATGAGTTAGCCCTATATCTTCTCTCACTAGAGTCTGTTTGATTTAATAAGACTTTTCGGAGACATTGGCATTTTCACTATCCTACATCTGTACTCTGCACCACATCCAATGATAAATGTAGCCTGAATACAAATGTAGCCTACTGTAAAAGTGATTCCATAAGAGTTTTTATTTATTTGCTGCTCTATAGATAGTGCTTAACCGTGTGTTGCTTACTCCCTGTTTGTAGGAACAAAGTCACACCCAAACTATGTGCTGTTAGCTAGAATACACAATGTAGTGTTGTCATGCTCTCACCAATGACTAATTCTAAACTAATCAGTTCTGTAATCTACTTTGGCCTCCTTCCACACGCAACTGAGATTGCCAATGCCTAGCTTTATGGAGTGCCGGGTTACCTGTCGTATTGCAGCCGTCACAAAAGTACCTACCTAGTTTTATTTGCATGCTGTGTCATCCCCACACAGATTGTTGTTACCAACTGGCTCAGGATACATTACACATTTTTGTCTTTGATAACCTTAGCATTTCGTTCCCTGTCTAGGAAACAATCAAAGGGAAACATTGAAAATAAAAACAAATTGAATGCTTGTGTAAATGTCTCTTGAACTTCCCCCTGCTCCTTTCTCTCTCCCACCCTCAGAACAGGAGAGCATCCCTGTCATGAGGAGCCAGTGGTTCATAGATGGCACCTGGCTCCCGTTGGAGGAGGACGAGAGTGACCTCATCGAGGTGGAGCACCTGACCCATTTCCGTGGGCAACAGATGCAGGACAGCTTCGACTCCAACTCTGTGGTGGCCAAGACAGTCGACAGCAAAGATGGTGAGAGAACACCGTGGCTTGTGGGAGATGTGCTTTAGGCCTAATTTAATATTTTTTAAGTGTAGGCCTATATCATGCATTATTCTAAAGACTGAATACCAGTTGTATCCAACCCTAGTCCTGGAGAGCTACAGTCTGGGCAAGCTTTGCCTCAGCACCGAAACGGCTGATTCCACTAACCATGTCTTGATGATTTGTTGATTAACTGAATCAGCTAGTTCTCCAGGACCAGGTTTGGATACCAGTGCTGTAGAAATGCTCTCTCACAATCTCATCTGCAAAACTCTGCCAGCGCAATCACTACTAACCTGATTATACACTGCTCAAAAAAAGAAAGGGAACACTAAAATAACACATCCTAGATCTGAATGAATGAAATAATCTTATTAAATACTTTTTTTCTTTACATAGTTGAATGTGCTGACAACAGAATCACACTAAAATTATCAATGGATATCAAATTTATCAACCCATGGAGGTCTGGATTTGGAGTCACCCTCAAAATTAAAGTGGAAAACCACACTACAGGCTGATCCAACTTTGATGTAATGTCCTTAAAACAAGTCAAAATGAGGCTCAGTAGTGTGTGTGGCCTCCACGTGCCTGTATGACCTCCCTACAACGCCTGGGCATGCTCCTGATGAGGTGGCGGATGGACTCCTGAGGGATCTCCTCCCAGACCTGGACTAAAGCATCCGCCAACTCCTGGACAGTCTGTGGTGCAACGTGGTGTTGGTGGATGGAGCGAGACATGATGTCCACCACCTCATCCAGGCTCTGTCGCAGCCGGCCGCGACCGGGAGACTCATGGGCGGCGCACAATTGGCCCAGCGTCGTCCAGGGTAGGGGAGGGAATGGCCGGCAGGGGTGTAGCTCAGTTGATAGAGCATGGCGTTTGCAACGCCAGGGTTGTGGGTTCGTTTCCCACGGGGGGCCAGTATAAAAAATAATAATAATGTGTATTCACTAACTGTAAGTCGCTCTGGATAAGAGCGTCTGCTAAATGACTAAAATGTAAATGTAAATGTATGTCCCAGATGTACTCAATTGGATTCAGGTCTGGGGAACGGGCGGGCCAGTCCATAGCATCAATGCCTTCCTCTTGCAGGAACTGCTGACACACTCCAGCCACATGAGGTCTAGCATTGTCTTGCATTAGGAGGAACCCAGGGCCAACTGCACCAGCATATGGTCTCACAAGGGGTCTGAGGATCTCATCTCGGTACCTAATGGCAGTCAGGCTACCTCTGGCGAGCACATGGAGAAAATAAATGCCACCCCACACCATGACTGACCCACCGCCAAACCGGTCATGCTGGAGGATGTTGCAAGCAGCAGAACGTACTCCACGGCGTCTCCAGACTCTGTCACATGTGCTCAGTGTGAACCTGCTTTCATCTGTGAAGAGCACAGGACGCCAGTGGCGAATTTGCCAATCTTGGTGTTCTCTGGCAAATGCCAAACGTCCTGCACGGTGTTGGGCTGTAAGCACAACCCCCACCTGTGGACGTCGGGCCCTCATACCACCCTCATGCTGTCTGTTTCTGACCGTTTGAGCAGACACATGCACATTTGTGGCCTGCTGGAGGTCATTTTGCAGGGCTCTGGCATTGCTCCTCCTTGCACAAAGGCGGAGGTAGCAGTCCTGCTGCTGGGTTGTTGGCCTCCTCCACGTCTCCTGATGTACTGGCCTGTCTCCTGGTAGCGCCTCCATGCTCTGGACACTACGCTGACAGACACCGCAAACCTTCTTGCCACAGCTCGCATTGATGTGCCATCCTGGATGAGCTGCACTACCTGAGCCACTTGTGTGGGTTGTAGACTCCATCTCATGCTACCACTAGAGTGAAAGCACCGCCAGCATTCAAAAGTGACCAAAACATCAGCCAGGAAGCATAGGAACTGAGAAGTGGTCTGTGGTCACCACCTGCAAAACCAGTCCTTTATTAGGGGTGTCTTGCTAATTGCCTATAATTTCCACCTGTTGTCTATTCCATTTGCACAACAGCATGTGCAATTTGTCAATCAGTGTTGCTTCCTAAGTGGACAGTTTGATTTCACAGATGTGTGATTGACTTGGAGTTACATTGTGTTGTTTAAGTGTTCCCTTTATTTTTTTGAGCAGTGTATTTCCAGCCAGGTACTTATCTGTAAGGAACTTATACATAATGCAGTGTGATAGCAGCTGTGGGAATGGGGTTTTCTGTAGTGGTGTCTGGGTTAGTTATGGACTCCATTAAAAAAGCATCCACTCCCATTCAAGTAATTTACCTTAGCCCACCTTAGCAGAACTGAAAAGTGCGGTTGGGACTCATATTATTACTGAACTTATTAGCTATCATGATCTCCCTGTAGACCAGAAAGGGGAAAAATACAAGTTTGACCTTTACGAGGCAGTTGGTTGTATTGTGTTAGCCCAGAGTGTATTATAGGTAAAAGTGTATTTCTCATGCAAGGCTCAGACAGCACAGTTATGCGACTTAGTTTCAGGAATAGCTAGTTGGAGCACTCTGAAAAGGAATGAGAAATGCAATCTTTCAGTCAGCAATCCCCTTCTGAATGCAGCGAGTCTTCAGGGCTGCTTCTTCTGTGATGAATGTGAGGTTGTGTGAATGAGTGCGATACCATCAGTATTAATAATAATAATAATAATATGCCATTTAGCAGACGCTTTTATCCAAAGCGACTTACAGTCATGCGTGCATACATTTTTTTTGTGTATGGGTGGTCCCGGGGATCGAACCCACTACCTTGGCGTTACAAGCGCCGTGCTCTACCAGCTGAGCTACAGAGGACCACCATTAAATCGTAGTGTGGGAAGATTTTGTGTGACTGTAAGTGAAGGAGGTAAAGCAAGAGAGACTGTTTGTACGTTTGTGTTTGTGTGCGAGAGAAAGGGCAAATGCCACCAGTGTTGGTGTGTGCTGTGTAAGTACGTGTATGAGAAATCATCTGACACATCAAGCTAAGTCTGAAGACAAAACTTCTATCTCGAACTGAGAACAAGTGCTGCTTTCCTTCCAATGAAGGCCAGCACCATCTCCTCAGTCACAATGGCACTCTGAATTGGACCATAACACAGTGTTTGCACACATTAACCTCTCATTGCAAATGGTCATGACTTGTTTTGACTCACTGTTAATCAAAATAAGTTTAGTCCTTGAATGGGTCCCAGCTCTAACGTCTGTTCTGTGTTCTGAATTCCTCCAACAGTACACTCTGTTCATTCATTCAAGGACAGTCTCGTCTCACCCCTTCAGGAGCTAAAGGGGACTGTAAAAAGTATCATCTATAGACTGGCTGGCTACTGGAGGTTGCCTTACACCAATCTAAACACACACAGAGGACACACATCCTAATCAAATCACAGACTGAGTGTTTGAAATGGGATCCAGGGTTATGCCAAGGGTTCTGTCATCTTCACGTAGCTACCCACAACCCAGCCCTTTCCAAATCCCCCTTTGGAAGCACATCCTTTCCATTCTGAGTCACCTCTTCAGAGAGAATACGACACTACTCTGTTCTATCACTTCACCACATCATTTAATGGATTCATTCAATTGAGGATTCACTTTTCTCAAGATTGACACTTCAAACTTTCTGTTAACACATTCTGCAAAAGCCAATTAATACCCCTGTACAGTGAACAGTCTGTCACATATTGCTTACTGAACTTCTCTCAGCCTTTGCTATGCTGCACTGAAGATTGTTGAAGAATTACTATCTTGTTATTACTGTCCATGCTGCTATTTACTAAATAATTCTTGCATCTTAAAAGCCTTACATCTTAATATTCATTATCATCCGTTTGGGCAACATTGTAGTGTGCTTCCTTTTAATGTGAGCACTCCGGGCTTCATACTGTGTTGTAAAGCACCTTGAGCCACTTTAGCACCGTACACAACACAGAGCAAGCTGTGCTTTGACAATACTGCAGTACTCTCTCGCTCTCCCCCTCTTTCTCTCTCCTTCACTCGCCTCCTCCCATCGTTCTCCCTCAACTGTCTTTCTCTCACCCTTCCTCCTCCCTCTCGCTCTCCCCCTCTTTCTCTCTCCTTCACTCGCCTCCTCCCATCGTTCTTCCTCAACTGTCTTTCTCTCACCCTTCCTCCTCCCTCTCTCTCTTCTCCCTCTTTCTCTCTCCCTCTTCTCCCTCTTTCTCTCTCCCTCTTCTCCCTCTTTCTCTCAACCTTCCTCTCCCCTCTCCTCTCCTGTTTCCCTCCCTGCCTCTCTGGCCCTGAAGCCCCAGCAGCCAGTTTAGACTAATGGAGCAGAAAGCATATGGTGGGGCATGCATTTCAGGCATGTTATGTAGGCATGAGTTAATCATAATGCAGGCAGGATGACCTGTGTGGGTGGAGTCCTCTCCTGCCCTAGGTTACTGCTGCTGCTACTGTCTCAGTCAAACAAGGGGAGAGGATGTGGAATGGCATGTCATTTCAAAGGAGAGATATTCAGCCTCTGTTCATTGTTATTAAAAATGGAGGGGGAAAAATGCATTGAAAGGATTCCTCATTCCTCATCAGGCTTCTTTTTATAATTTTTTGAGGGTAGATCAGCTTTAATATTTCATACAGATTGTAACTTCCATCAATGTAATTGTCTGCATCACTTCCAATCCCCCATTTTGTTTTTTTCTCTCGCATATATATATATATATAGTGAGGGGAAAAAAGTATTTGATCCCCTGCTGATTCTGTACGTTTGCTCACTGACAAAGAAATGATCAGTCTATACTTTTAATGGTAGGTTTATTTGAACAGTGAGAGACAGAATAACAACAAAACAATCCAGAAAAACGCATGTCAAAAATGTTATTAATTTATTTGCATTTTAATGAGGGAAATAAGTATTTGACCCCTCTGCAAAACATGACTTAGTACTTGGTGACAAAACCCTTGTTGGCAATCACAGAGGTCAGACGTTTCTTGTAGTTGGCCACCAGGTTTGCACACATCTCAGAAGGGATTTTGTCCCACTCCTCTTTGCAGATCTTCTCCAAATCATTAAGGTTTCGAGGCTGACGTTTGGCAACTCG